AGGAACATACCAAATTTGATGTTCAGAATAATACATTTTACTCTATTGTTTTTAATATAAGAGTGAATTGACAACTTATTATCAAATATTTAAATGTAAGTATATTGCTGTAAGGATCCTGTCTATTTAGTTTCGTACGTCTTCAATACTCAGACTCTTAAAATCCAAATCGTTTAACATTTTTATATTTTATATAGTTTGTTATATTTTAGTATATGGTTCACTGATTTTGATTTAATTATTTGGAATCATCATCAATCTTATTCAGTCTTTATCTATTGTTATTTATTAATTAATGAATTATGTAAATTCTATAATAATATTTTAGCTAATAAACATAACATTACGCGGAATGCACTGTGCCGAGCCCAGTCCCGCCATTTCAGTTTTTGAGGGGGGGGGGGGGGCAAATACATCTCAATACAAATAGCCTTCTTCTAATGCGCAGGTGCAATCGAAAGTAATTGAAACGTCAAACATATAGGTAATCCAGACGACGATTAACAATAAACATTAAACATGGAAGGCCGTTATCTGTTAAATACCTACTCACCCTGATAACTCATCAGTCATCACACCATAGACCTGCAGGGTTGTAGATAGTATGATTTTTCTATTATCCAATATGCATAAATTAGAAATACTCAAATACATAATATCGTTGATTATAAATACTATAATGAAATAATAATAAATAAATAAAAATAAAAAATATACTATAGTAAATGATAATATTCAGATACCCTATAATTATTTACATATTAGCAAGTGGCGAATGGTGGTTAAATGTTATTTAGTAATGACATGAATCATGTTTGCTGTGGCCTTGCGATCTGTAGCCCTAAGCTAGCCATAGCTCAACACCGGCCCGATAGCGGCCCGCAGATGGCAAGGGGGGGGAATTCCCACCCTGCCACCCTCAAATGATACCACTGACCGTGCCCACTCTGGACGTAATATTATACTAGGTATCGATAAAAATAAAAAATCTTTAATGGGTCGAACCTACCCAATATTATTATCAGAAATTAAACATTAATTGCATTTTTACATCATTCAAAAGTGCGTTCCGACACAAGGCCAAAACATTATTAGGTCTTTGTATACGTTGTTCATCTTATACTGCGTTTGATTGAAAACTGTGTCGGACATTTAATACAAAAATAATAGCTCTTTAAAATCACTCGAGCAAACGACGAACGTAATAAGATGATTAACTAATAATTAAATAATCTGTTTACTGATTATAAGTTTAAGTTTACACTTTTTGTTAACGAGCTCCTTTTTCGTGGAGCTCAAGAAATAATATTATACTGAGTGATCCATTTTACTTAAGGCACTTAAAAAGTTTTTGCAAATATATTTTTATATATAATTTTAAGCTGTTAAAAACAAAATTCTTCTAAAACTTTCACTAATCCTTTATACTAACAAACTATACTTGTCCAAAATTTGATTTTTATAGATCGGAATACTCTAAATAATATTTTGCTAAAAAGAAGACGAACTTAAAAATATTTGCTGCCATTTAAAAGAGTTAAAACAAAATTTTGTTTTGGTACGACTTAAATTATGTAAAAGTAATAGGTAATTTCATAAAATGTTATTGTTTTTTAAAATAGGTAATAAGTGTCTTATGTTAAACAGATCACTCAGTTTACACCTATTACGCGTTTTAGAAATGTTATCTCGTCGAAGAATGTTCAACATAATAATATTATGTGGGTAATACAATATGTGCTTGGAAGGTCTCTAATTTATTGTTTCATATAATATTTTAAGTTAACCTACACTGGCTACACTCGAATACACTCAAAACTGTTTTACCTATTGTTTCTTATAGGAAGGTAGGTGCAAGTGTAAGTACCATAAAATACCTATATAAACGTTAGTGAATTAAAACACAGATTTAATATATCGTCTGAGAAGAGATACGGTATGCCTGCAGAGCGGCATTAGGAATTCAATCTTGACATTTCATAACGATCTGCAAATTCATTTAATATGAAAAATTGTTTGAAACGTGAAATTGTCAGGTAAATTACGTAATTGGGTCAGCTAGATAGATGTTATAATAATAACTATAAAATCTATAAAATGTCCGTTTAATGTTGTTATTAAAATACTATTTCTTATGTAAATAAGACANACGGAGTCCAGCGGTCGTTGTGTATTAGTCTAAGTAAGGTACACAATGAACTGACTTACTATTACATTGTTTGTGTTGGTCATAGGTCTTACAATTTGTCAGCTAGATAGATGTTATAATAATAACTATAAAATCTATAAAATGTCCGTTTAATGTTGTTATTAAAATACTATTTCTTATGTAAATAAGACAATTTTAAACCACGGCTTTACCTTAGGTACTCTGGATCGAGTTCAGAGAGTCTTAAGATAATGGGAGATTGTAAATTCCACCCGGGAAAATATCCAAGTAAAAAAAGATACACTTGAAAATAATATATACAGGTACAAAAATAAGTTTGTAAATTCCGCCCGGAAATATAAATATTTTTAAACAGAGTTCAGTGACTGTAGTAAGACGACTAAGACGCGACAGTACTGTTCGTTCGCGACGGCTGACGAGGCGTGTTTATAGTATTTGGAAGTTCAAAATTTCCGAACTCGAAACAATCGTATCAGACGACAATCGTCAATCATGTCATATCTTATCACATTTGACAACAATATTTTGGACCTAATAATTGGAAATGTCAGATAGAAATAATATTAATTGTTTGAATCACCTGAGTTTCGTTTAGAATTATGATGTATTTATATTCAGTAGACGTCCTTGAGTTTAAAGCAAAAACATTTTTTGGCCAGAATTGACATGCGCGATGCGCCCAAAATAATGCAGCCTTAACGTAGTGTTCATTTTCAGTTATTTTCAAATTTGTTCCATTGATCGTAGGAAATTTGTTTTTTTTTTAAATTGTTTTTTGATTCTCTCTAAAAATCGGGGTTTAGACTTTTAGTACATTTTTTCGTGCCATTTTTGTCTTATTTGGTTGAGCAATATTAATACAAACAAATCCATTATTTTATAAGAATAAATGTTGAGTTTTTAATTTTTCCTTGATTATAATATAAAACTTCACCAAAAGGCAACAGGTTACCAACAAAAAATTATTTCTACGTTTGATTATATAGTTAATAGTTAGGTACTTCCTAAGAAAATACGTATTGGACTTGAACTTCGACTAATAAATATTGGTTTTTCATATGTGGTCTCCGGCATATTGTATATGTGTTATATTATTTTAAATTCAAAATAAAAATATTTTTGAACGAAGTTGAATTTAATATAATAATGACACATATGACATATATTAAATTTACATATATATACTGCCATACTGGAAACCACATATGGAAAACCAATATTAATTTGTTGAAATTTTATTGAATAAGTTTAAAATGGTCATGTTGTATTATAAGAAAGAAAAATTCAAATGATAGATGATACTTTCGGGGTACTAATAATTTGAAAGCTTGTATCCAAAAAAGAACCGACTATTTTTAGTTTTTCCTGCGTGCACTAAACGAAATTACATCTTTGGACAGGTAAAGTACTTTTAGTATAGTAGGTACTTATTATATTATTAGAATATTAGAATATGATTATATAGTCATTGTATTCAATTCGGTTTATGAATCATTGGTGAACATATTATGTGTTCTCACACTGTAATAGTCCACTGGCTATGCTAATGTGCTAACTTTTTTTTATTTGTACATGGTTATAACTTGGGTAATAGATTAATCATAATTAATGCTTATAAAAATTAAAGCGTTTTACATGACACACGTTTATTTCACCGCAATTAATAATGAACGTTTGAAACGTAAAGTATGACGTGAAATAAAAGCTTACCATTTAAGTAATTTTGCAGTCGAGTTTGGCGAATTTATATTTTCAACGTTATTTTTTTTTTTTTTTTGCATAATAGGTTTGTAATGTGAAAACGTTTTATTGTTGTACGTCATCTAAAAACTGAAAAACACGTCAGAAGTGCAGCACCTTTAGAAGACAATGAAACAAATCGCATGCGCAACAGTTGGTTACAAATCTAAAGTTCTCGGAATCCAATGCATATTTATGTAAAACAAGTTTATTTGTTATCTGGAAATATACCATTTAATAAATTGAAAAACACTAACTTGAAGAGACGAAGAGTTTTTTTTTAGTAAATTTTATGTAAGTAAACGATTGTTACACTTACAGCCAGACAACGAACAAAAAGTCATTGTTCAAGGAAAAACAATATTGGTACCAATTTATTTACGAAAATACTGACGAATGACGATAATGAGAGGTATGTAGCTATCATACCTATTACAATAATGTTATAATTGGTACACTTAAAAAATTGATTGTCCTAGAAAAGTTGTGTTTTGGAATCGGGAGGTGTTGGAAAAAATGATCGCTCGACTATGCATAGGTAGTAGCTAAATTATTATTTGATAATTCAACCTTATACCAGTTATACCTACTTATTAGTTATTATGGCCTTACGGTGTTCAGCTTGGCGATAATCCAAGGCTTTTATAGTGACGTAACACCTGCTTATATAAGTATGATTAAATCGACATCCTTTATAACATATAAGTATGATAGGATTAGGAATTAGGACGTTTTGTGCACCGATGCGCTCAAAACTAACAAAACATAGGTATGTTCTAAAAATACATTAAAAATGCAGTCATTTAAAAGTTTGTCATTTTATATGTTTTAATACAGTGTCGATATTTGAGGTTTTACTAAAAAGATGCACATTTTTGACCAGTCCTTTAACAATTAGTAATTGATTATTCTTTTCATGGTTTTAGCTTTTTAATATATATAGTAGTTAATACTATATAGTTAATTATGATTATATATCACAGTCAATGTAAACATAGGATTGTTCCTAAAATTATCAAATCATTTTACTTTATTTTATTATACCTACTATAAGCTTTAAGACACTCAGAAATAAATACTTATAATATAATTGATTTAAAAATAATAAAAATCTATTTATGAAGTCCAAGTCAACGGTGCCTTTTCAGACGCAAATGTCTATTTGTGTACTGTTGAATTCCTCAACAAGTTCAATTTTTTAGATAAATTTAAACTTAAAATTGTTTTTCTTTAATATAAAAAATATCTTAAAATAGTACACAATATAATAAAATAACTATACATTGTTGAAAATTATAAAATTATTTAATTACATATATTTTTTTCTTTGACTATACCTAGCTAAACTATAGCCATAAGATATAATATTATGTAGATATCATTTATATTATACATACCTATGCAATTTTAATTCTATAAAATATTATCAAAAAATATAATGTATAAAATTATTAATCCCACTAGGTACATAAATCTTTCGAATAGCTTTTTTTTTGTATAAAATGTATTTAATATAATTTTGAGCCGTCCTTTAGTAAATTTACGAACTTTGATTCTACTCTTCTACTTCATTTTCTTCAACTTTTTCTTTTTCAGCATTTGTTTCTTCTTCTTCTTTTACTTCTTCCTCAGATTTTGTTTCTTCAACTTTTTCTTCTTCGACATTTTCTTCTCCGACTTTTTCTTCTTCAACTTTTTCTTCTTCTACTTTATCTTCTTCCTCGTTTTGTTTTTCTTTTGCGTCGATCAGTGAATCTTCTGATTTTTCTGCCGTCTGTTCTTCTTTTGTACTGTTATTTACCCCTTCAATCACGGCATCATTTCCATTTGTTAGAATTTCTGATTTGATTAAGTCTATTGGTATTACTCTAGTTTCTTCAACTGTAAGAAGAATAACTTCTTGTATTTTAGGTTTTCTAAAAAATAAAAAACACATTCAAAATAAAATTATAACCTATTTAAAAGGTTAATAATAATATTAAAAATAAATCTTGATCTTGATTGTAAGTACACGTAATTTGGTGTTACTAACTGACGATTTGCGTGTCTACCTCTATAACAGCCAAAGGTCAAGGCACTCGCGTGAGCAGGACAAGAGAAATGATTTTTTAATGATTTTTGCAACCTTAAAGAATTGAGTTGTTGAATGAAATTGTATTCGATAAAAATAATGTTTCAGGATAATTTCATATTATATTATTGTGTAAGAATTGAAGTCTTATTGTATGATTAAGTTTCATCGATGGTTTAGAAATATTATAAAAGAGTCACTCTTTTAATTTGTTTTATAACAGACTGTTTACTTGGGTCCCAAAATGTTTTTTAATTATTTATTTTTGGTTTTCTTAAAGATAATTTAGTTACTCTAAAAATTATTTTAAAATAAATAATTAAAAAACATTTTAGGAACCCAAGCAAAAAACCTGTTATAAAATAAATTAAAACGATATCTTTGACACTTTGATATGACTTAAAAAAACTCATTAATTGGTTTATCATATACATTATTGTTGTTCTAGAAAACTATTGGTCTAAATAGGTGTAAATTATCCATCGTTATCCCGCAACGGGATAATGAGTCATGTATGGTGCAAACACCCCTGTGCGTTTTTTATACACCCGATCAAGTGGCTGTAAAACATACTTATAATAAATATCAAATATGATGTTATGAAATGATGTTTCCAACACAGGACGTTAATTGTATTCAACGGGGCCCATCAATTAGAACCTAGAGGGGGAGGGTGTGACAATATCATGGAAAAAAAAACTTAGAACCAATAGAATTGCTTTTATTAAATAATGCAGAAAAAAAATAGGTTTATAACGTGGATAGACGACGTACCTATGTAATAACTAATATGCCATGTAGAATAATGTCATCTGTAAAAACAGTTTATTATTTACAATTTAAAGAAAATACTATCGTTTCATTTTATGGGGTGCCCCTAGTGGGTGCCTTTGGTTGTAGACTATCACGAACTTGAACTTGTAGTCACATCATTAAAATAATTATTAGTCAATAGAAACATATTCGTAATCGTTAAAATAAAGTGTAATAACTATATAATATAGACCTACAGGCTACAGCTATAAAATACATTCGTATCATGTTGCATCATAAAACGTATGGTTAGGCAAGTCTGCAGTGACCCGTGTTCACAATTTATTGTTATATACATGGTAATGTGGCATGAATACCTAATACCACGTCACGAGTGTTCTATAAATATCTATGTTTTGCATATACCCTTGGCTGGCCGGATATTGCGTGCCCTCGCGCTCTGGTGTCTTGGGGGTGTAAGTTTATTAAGTTCTGCGATTTTAGTCTTAATAGGTTTTTTTTATCGGTCGGGATAACACCTCTATAAGCGGATGCTCTCGTCTTGTACATCTATAATTTGTCTAATGATTTCTGAACACCATGCACGAAAATAATTATGAATATAATAATTTATTTTTAGGAGGCTTGAGACGTTTTTTTTTGGTGTATTTATAATATAAACTGTACTATAATACTATATTTCCTCGACGATTCGGCCCATCGCGTCGTACGTATAAATGCTTAATATAATATTATATTCCAACGATTTCTGCAGGATAAATTATCATTTATTTAGCAGTTCATAATGAACATTATGTACATTCATTACTATTTAAAATTATTAAGAGATCTGTAATACATTTTTTAAATAAATTAATAAGAAAAATAGATATTTAAATACATATATTACACATACTTGATACTTACAACTTGTTTAATGTATGAACTCTACATTATAATATGTCAATGAATTGTGTTAAAACACGGCGTAAAATACTTTTGAACCATGAAAAGGCAGAGCATATTATATTCTATAGAACATCAATTAAGGTAGTCTAAATAGTTAATATTTATAATTGATATACAAAATGTACGATTTAAATTTTTTTAACGTTGTTTATTAATATTTGTTGGTTTAGTCACGCTGTATACACTATGAATACACTATATAATATACCTTATTCCTACGTTGGTACTTGACATATACATATACACTCTAAATCAGCTTATGAATAAAATACACGGGTAAATAGTTATATATATATATATTATATATAGGTACTTAAAATAACAATAAATTAACTTGTACATGTTGTAAGATGATCATGAGAGGTAATCGATTTACACTATAGCTTATTAGTGACATGTGATGGAGTACCTATGTCTCTTATACTTTAAGTATAGGCCATAATACTCAATCGTCATTTATAATTTCAACAAACGATACAAATATCCATGGAATAATAATTGCCACTTACTCTGGCATAGTTGAAGTAAAATCATTTACTTTATCATCTACTGATTTTTCTACATCTTCGACTTGTTGTTCTGCTTTTCCAAATAACGAACTGAATTTTTCTTGAGTCTCGTCCATCAAATTTTCCATGCTTCCGCCGACATCTAGAATAATTAACCATGGTTAACGTCTAGACAATTTTTTTTAACCAATAATGAGACCATAACAGAACTTCCAAAGCTGATGTTCTGCACAACGAAATTGTCTTTAAATATGAGACTTAGGTCATAGATACTATAACTAAAATTAGAACATTTATACAATTTGATTTTTTTTTTTTAATTATGTCGTAGGTTTTATTAATATTAATTATTTTTATAATAATTTTTTCTTTAATTCAATACTGTCATAGAGTCACTATGTCTTCCTCTATTCGTCATTACAGAGTGTTTAAGTTTTACAGTATAGAATATAAGTATAGATTTTATTTTATATATACATATATCATTAAAATATAATATCATAAACCATTTAAAAGTCAATATTATAAACTATTATAATTAAATTATCATATATAAATAGACATATATATAATTTATACTTAATTGGATATCTGTTGACTATAATTTAAAACATTTTTCAAACTCATAAATTATATTTTATTGTTATTATCTTATTTGAAATAACAAATAATTATGATATTTTACTTGAGTTCAGAGTTAGTACTATCGTTAAAAAATAATTTTCATTAAAACAAAAACTAAAAATTGATGTTATTTCTATTTATTTGTAAAAAGTTGGTATATATTGATTAATAATGAAAAATTAATTTATTAGTTCACGAAAAAAGTAACATTTTAATAATTTAATATTTTATTCATTTTCAAATACGTGCCGCAAATGTCTGAATATCTTATTGTATATTTTATGAGGTATGAGAACTTTTCTTTGTATCTAAAAGGTTTATTTTAAATTGAAGTTCTATAACTTTATGTTGAATTTGACATATAATTGACGTAATACAAATTGTAACGCATAAAAATACATAATATTATTGCAAAATAAAAGTATTAATTTCAAAGTAGGTACCTTTATGATATTAATTTACCTTTATTAACTTTATTATATAAATATTTTATTCTAACAACTAATAAGTGAGACCCCGGTTATGGCTTTTATTTATACAATGTTCATGTCAAATATTCATAGTTGTTTTTGAAATTCTTCCGTTGATCTTAATAATTTGAAACATTAAAATTACTATTAAATTAGGAATTCTACAAAATCGCATTTACTTAAAAGTTATAATTCGGTGTCTACATAAAACATAATATACCAGTATACCTTGGTAGTAGACTAATGTATACTGCTAAACTATTCTATTTTCGAAGATCGCTAAAATGTCGATGGTTCATACTAAAATACTACAGTGATCCTAAAGTATAAAGTTCAGTTTAAATTCATGATTTACTGACAATGATTTCACATTTCCTACCAGGTTCCCTGCAGCTCAGATCGTTGTTTTAACTTTTAACCATTTGTATTAAATTATTTCTGGGTTAATTATAACAGGTGCTGATTACTTGTAAGTAAAACCGGTAGGTACCTACCTGTATCACACTGAACAATAATTATATTCTTAAATAAACATATACAATACACATTATGTATGCAATTAAAATGGTAATTATTATTTTCGAAACATTTGAATTCAGGTGACGAGGAATGATAGATCATGACTGTTTTTAATTTTTATAGTATATAGTATATACTATGACACTATGTCAAATTAAGTGAGTTTTACATAAACACGATATACACTATTATATATTATATGTATAGTATATACCTACAACCAACTACCTAGTTAATTTTAAATAAAATATTTTACAATAAAAATTAGTAAATTACTTTATTTCAATTTTCTAAAAACTAACCTCTTAGTAAATTTCGTGAATTTCTTAATACATATTTAAATTGTTAAAATTATTATAGCTTTGGTAGGTACGTATTAATCAGTATTTTTTTATAATTAAACTTATCACAGGATCAGTGTATAGTAGTTACATTTTTTAAATTATTATCGTTGGTTAAGTTAAAAACTATATAACTTACTAGGATGTTATCAGATTTTGTATTATACTCGCATTAATTTAATTCGATCGATAACATTGTTAAATTATAAAATCGATTGAAGTTTAACTCTATATAAATTATGTAACATATAATATATGATTATAAGTGGAGCATTAGAAATGTATTGATTTTATACTATGTTGTGTATTTTATTTTTGTTTGTTTTCATTGTTATTTATCATATTGTATTTTATTATTCATTATTCATTGTTCCATACACAACTTCTGGGAGCCATTAATTGTTTTTTTACAGTTTATTACATATTACAGCTCTTTTCCAATTTTATTAAACAATTTTAACTTAAATATAATATTTGTTCGTAAGTGAAGAGTAACGAAAGCACCATATTTATAGTGTAGATCTATCTACAAATCAAAAAATGTGCCTGGCTTGTATTTTGTAGGTATAAATAATTACACGAAATGCATACTTACAGATTTTCAATAGACGTGAAATATTATCAAAACATGTTGATCGACTATAGGCAAGTTATAGCATTTTTAACAAGTTCTATTCAATTTTATTAGTAAGTCTAACAAATTTAATACATGGGAAAATAAATATGTATTATTCTAAATATGATATTAAGTTCTAGACCAATTAAGACCAAGTGTAATGTATATATTTTTTAACCGTATATAATATTATAATAAGTGGAAAGTGCAAAATGGAAAAACTATTCAATAAACCATGAATATTTTTCATTTATATTTATAAAGAAACACGAAGTACTTAGGTACCCATATAAGGTACAACTAATCTGAAATGAACGATAATAACTAATAAGTAACACTATTCCGTGTAATATATTCCGTGACTACGAACTATTAGATGGTAGGGAATTCGAAAAAAAATACTTGTTGTTTAAATTTACTAGCTTCATACAAAATATCATATAAATATATTTTGTACATTTGCATATTATTGCTAAATGGTAAACAGAAGTTGTTATAATAAAATAAATTAGTATACAAAAATCATAAATTAACGCAATTTACATTTTTTTATTTGCATACGAAAGTTATTTGTTATTAAAATTATTAGTAACATTTTAATTTTTACAAATATACTTTTAAACTACAAATTGTCTTACAAATATTATTTTCATATTGCAGTGTAGGCATTATAAAGGAGTCCAATGTAATAAAATTAACTATAAAATGTAGTGCCGTTGGCTGGTGTTAGGAGCGATACATGGCAATATTTTAGTTTTACAATTAGCAAAAAAAGGAATTAGCTATATGTCAAATACAATTAAAAGCGTCTTGTAAAAAATACAAATATTCTGTAGGTTGTAATATAAATATATTTTATAATTTTAAATTGAATTATTTACAATGTTCAAGTCCAAAACTAAGTACGTCAAACACTTTAATTCCACAAAAATTATTAAGTAAAACTAAACGTGCTAAGGAATCAACAAAAGACTCGTTTAGAACTTTGAGTGTCTATTGTAGAAGCAGGGAGTGGGAGGTTCTTGAGTTTATGAAAATGGCTGTACCTGAGTATGTTGTCTCCATTAAACCAGCTGATAAAATGAAAATGAAAATGTAAAATATTTCACTCATGTTTATGCAATTTATCGGGTTTTGGACGTCATTGTTAAGACATAGTTATTTAGGTATAACTTGTCATTAGTTGGGAAAATAGTGTTAACGTACAAGAGTTTTAAAAACAGTGGAAGTCCCTCAGTCCCATACTTAAATACATCTTGTCAATAATTTAAATCTATTTTTAAATTTTGGGACATTGAAAATAAACTATAGAGTTTGTGCTGTTGGATGCGATAATACTGTGAAAATACTCAAAACTATACCACGGGTCAAATTAATTTAGTTGGATGTGTTGCTCACTCTGTGTACAAAAAGTTATCTGTAAAATGTTGGACTCCTAAATTATACGGTAAAATAAATAGGTAATAAATACGCTAAAAAAAATGGTGAGACACTCCAATGAAAGTTCAAAAAATACTTGAAAATGAACAAAATACATATACGCAGTATTCAACTCAGTAATAGACAGAAATATATCCATGTATGTATGGACGGAAAATGTTTGTATATTATACTGTTTTTCTATGGTATAAATTCATTTTGTTTTAAATTTTTCTTTTTGTTTTTGTGTCGGAAACGGAGAATCTAGTTTATTCGGGCTCCCGATGATAATAATTAAACTTATCATAGTGTATAAGTCTTGGATTCAACACTGTCATGGGACATGGTGGGCGAATTCGGTCAGTTAATAAGTGATATCAACACTATAAAATTAACGTTTTTAGTTTAACCTAAAAAATAGGAGAAGATAATTATCAACATCTTTTCCCCTATTATTTGTTCAACACAGAATGACCATCGGTTCGCCCATTTTTCTCTAGCTGTGAACTATGCCTAAAGTGGATTGCCACTTGGAGACACCACAATATAAAAAAACACTCCATTATGCAATACCTCATGCAACATTAAATATGACACAAACATTTTACACCGCACCTATACTTGTCAATGATTAATGTGTGCTAAGGTGGTGAGGAAACTTGCAACGCTTAAAATATATCATCCTCATGATATATTACTATGCCAAATATATCGATTTAAATATTTATACGATTTTCACTAGAAAACTCAATACGGTAGAATATAGTTACAACAAACTCAACTTATTCGTCCTATTGTGATATATGAAATATATTTGATATATATATAAATGAGTAAAAATGAATATAAACCCTGTAAACGTACCTATATACGACCTGGAGATGTGCGAATAAATTTTTACTCACAACAATCAATATATTAACCCACTTTAAAACAATACATAAATAGGGAAAAGTTATGTATTTTACGAATGCGCTAGTATTATAGATGTAATTACCTACTATGTACAATGGTAATAGCCTAGTCTTGTACAAGAATACTGATAATTAAAAAGGTGGGAAAGTGGGCACCACTCAACTGTATCTCATGTATCGTGACGTCGTATAGGTCACTGTGTAATGGATGTATTCAACCTGAATTCAATGATATTATA